GAAGACTGATGCTGGCGAATGGTAAATTCTATTGTTTACCATTATTGCTAAGGGTAAATCTTAATTCATAGTCTACCGCTCTACCACCGCTCCATTGGATCTCAATTCTTGATCGAAAGACTTTCCATCTCCAAATCTGAAGAGGAAACCTAATTCTCCTCCTCTTCCACCCCCAGCTTACTCCTCAATTTCAATCCCGGACATCATTAAGCCAAATTACCACTGTGATCGTTTATCTTTCACAGTCGGGGGTTCAACCTCTTTCGACCCTTTTGATCCATTCCATCTCCCATACCTCGTTTCCCCCCCTTCGAACCAAACCTCTTCCAGTGGCCTTCCTTGATTGCACATCTTTTTCCTTTTCTTCTTCCGGTATTCATCTAGACCCTAATGTTTTGATATTGCCATCTGGGCCTTATAGAAAGAATGGCGTCCGTCGCAGATATACAACCAGAAGCTCACCCCTCAACTCCTGATTCTGAGACTCATTACGCTTCGAATACTCAATTGAATCCATCTGATCTCACGGACTCAACTACCCCGGTCGCCATTCCACAGCCAAATCCACATGAAAACCAACACCGGCCAAATCCTCGACCAAAGAATCCTACATATTCGCAGTTCTCACAAACACAGTCAGCCACAGCTCGATCGCGCGCATATTCAACAGCTTCCACGTCGTCCGTAAATTCCGTTCGTCGCAAACCTTTACCTGTAAGTGCCTCGCCTTTGGCAACCAGGTTTTCCACCAGGTACTCCACGGCGGAATACTTCAGTCCATCTATCGAAGAATTACCAGAGCCGGATATTCCATATTCTCGGTATACGAATGTTGCAGATAGTCCAACACTTTACGAATTTCCATCGGATATAAAAAGCGCTTTGCCATTTTCCCCAGAAAGTTCTAGCAATAGAAATTCCATCCGAAGTTCAATAAGAAGTTCCAGGAGCTCCAAAAGTTCTAAGAGCTCCAAGAGTGTTTCGAAACAAGAACGTCCATCATCAAAGTATGTTTACTAGGCATTCACTATTTCTAACATCTGATCAAACTTATTCACTGTTTCATGTTGATGCTAAGACTGCTTAATTAGGAGATTTTCGAGCGAACACATCGCTTGGACTTCAGTGACGCCAGCGCTACCAGAACAACCAACAGATAACGAAGAACAAATCCTTAGTCCAAAAAGTCCGAACCTTTTAGTCCCGTCTCAAACACGTCCACCGGGAGCCTCGAGGCATGAAAGATTGGTTAGCGATTCGCCATTGAGTTCTGATTCCGAATCTACCGGTCATTGGTACGGGGATTCAAGTCCAGGAAGTCGTCCGGGTTCTGCTACCATGTCCATTTTCTCATCCAAAGCTACACCACCACATAATATTATACCTAATGCTCCGGCACGAACCAATACTCACGAATCTCACGACTCTACATCAACTATACATAAACCCAAATCGCCGGGGAAACTTGGTTCTTTCTTTAGTAGCTGGGGAGGTGCCGTATCCCCATCGAGTTCAACGACAACATTTTCGGAAGATAAGGCAGATTATTCACCAAACTCACCCATACCGTCGTCAAATGCATCTCCGCATAAACTTTCGGAATTTGAAGACCTCCATTCGAGGACACATACTAAAGCGCCACCGGCCGCGATCGATATTCCCAAGGCCAATGCAGATGCTGCCCATTACTTCGAAAACGCATATTTACAAATACCCATAGCGACACCTAGTCCGCCGCCTTTACTAGTCGAAGAGATGGAGCGAGAATTGAAAGAAATCAGCCAAGAGCTAGCATCTTCCATACGAAGGGAGATGGACCTGGAAGATCTTGTAGACAGGTTACAGCTCGAGGCCCAAAATTCAGGAACAAACAGTAGCAAGCGAACAAGTGATTATTTTTCTGATTCTGGAACAAGTGTGATTCCCAGATATGGAGAACCCGATCCTAAGCAGGATGAACTTGACCGAATTCAGAGAAAGACAGAGCAAGAGAAGGCTTCTATCAAATTAGAGCTTACAGATAAGCTACAAGACGAGAGAGCTATAAGAAAGCAACTCGAAACACAAATTCGGTCTTTAGAAGAAAGAGCGGCTCAGGTAATTTTCTCTAACTTAAAAAAAGACATGAATGCAACTGACATATTGGCTTAGGTTGATCTTGCAGCTATAAATTCAGTGGATGCCAATGGACGACTCAAAGAGTTGGAGGCAACTTGTGAGGATCTTCGACGCAAATTGTCCGAAGAGAAACAGATCAGGGAAAACTTCGAAGATCTTTTGACTGCACTCAAAGCAGATCTTGAAACCTCACATAACGAGCGTGACAATTTGAGAGATGAAATTGTGCCTCAGCTCAAGGCACGTGTCGAAGGACTCGAAGCGCAAGCTGCAGAACATGAAAAGTTGACCTACGAGCAAAGCAAGATGAATCAAGAAATTGAAACTCTCAAGAAGGAGAACACCACATTAGTCAATGCCCAAAGGCTACAAATGGAGATGAGCCAGTTCAACTCCCTTTCGGAAGAAGACAGCATAAGCAATCTACCCAGGTCGAGATCATCCATAATGAGCATTGGTGGCATCGGTGGACTCGGTGGTTTAAGTGGTGGTCTAGGTGGCTTGAAACGGGCCAACTCTCTCGCACACACTGGCAAAACCGCTAGATCACCTGGCTTATCTAGGACAACATCCGTCAAGACTGCTGAGTCTAGAGAAGCTTTGGCAGAACGAGTAAAGGATATTGAACTCCAACGAGATTCTTTACATCGTGCTCTTAAAAGTTTGCTTGAACGTCAAGAGCACCAGAATCGTGAAAATGAAAAGAAAATCCGCCAATTGGAATTGGAAAGAGATCGTGCTATGAATCAATCCCCGAGGCGGCAAGGATACGATAAGGAAGTTTCAAATCTTAGAGAGGAAATCAATACCCTTCGTCGCCGTGCTGATGAAGCAATTGAGCAGAAGTGGCAATGCGAAAAAGGTCTAGGTGGTTTGAAGATGGATCTCGATCGCGCTGAACAGGAAATCGGCTCACTACGAAGCTTGTTACAGGAGAAGGACATATTAATCAAACGATCTAGCACAGATTCTAGACCCGGCAGCTCACACGCAACCTCCGAGACACTTGAGCGATCGTACCGGGATCTTCAAGCGGCTTACTCATCTTCTTTGGAGCGAATCAAGGCCCTTGAAATCTCAGCCTCTAATGACGAGGATACTGCAAGAGCTATGGAGCAGTTGGAGAAAAGCTTGTCTGATGCAATTACTGAAAGAGATGTTGTAAAACAAGAGCTTGAGGCAGTCAGAGAGCAATCGGAATCCTTGAGAGATTCTGAGAAGTTACATCTTCAAGAAGAGATGCAATTGGCAGATGAGCTACGTGAATCAGCCAGACGAGTCGAGGAATTGGCTGGACAAGTCAGACTGCAACTTGCTTCAAACAGCACTCTTAGACAGCGTCTAGCTGACGCTATTGAGCGAGGAGAGAAGGAGCAGAAAGCCAATGCGCAAAAGATCACATTCCTTCAAACCAAGCTCAGGGCTCTTGAGGAAAAGCTTATGGCTGCTCAGAATATTTCTGAGGTCAGAATTGCTCGTCATGAAGATGAGATTCGTGATATCAAGGACAGTCACAATATCCAGCTTCTTCGCGTGAAGTCGGAACTCCGTTCTCCTCGTTCATTCGGGCCTAAATCGCCCATGTCTCCATTGTTCGCAAATGCGAAGAAGGTACCGCGTCTTTCTATTACCACATCCGGAAAAGGAATGTCGGTAACTGAGGATTCAAAAGTTGAGGTTTTGAGACAACAAGTTGTAAACCTTGAAGCTGCTCTTGCAGAGGCAGATAGAGAAATGGAGGAAGTTGTTGGCCGTATGAATATCGCACAGATCGAAGTTATGGAATTACAGAACGAAAGAGAAGAAGCCGTACGTGAAACGAGGAAATTACAGAAGACGATTGAACAAGAAAGATTGAGGGCTTTCGAGGGGAGATTTGCTACTCTTAACTCTTCATCATAATGAATCTGTGGATGTTGAGGTAGAGGGTGGTTTCAAGATTGTTTCATCAAGCGGCTTTAGCGTTTGTCAGTCTGGTGGTGATTTTACATCAGCATTTTTACTTTGTTGAACACCCAAGAGCTCCGGAATTAATGAGTCTCAATGGATGGGTGAATATGGAGTTTTATTCATTATTGATTGGCATTATTTTTCTAGTCATTGATAAAATGCATCAAATGGAATGGGCCAATTTGGTGGCTTTTACATCATTTTATATATACTAAGGTCGACTGATATCTTGGAGGAGTCGAATGGTATTTTATCTAATATTGTTTCCAGGGTGGTGGAACAAATGATGACTTGTGGTCAAGGAAATGGAGATGGTTGTAATTATTTTGGTAATATGCCTCGTTGAGAGACAGGGGTAGATACATATGGGTATAGGGATAGATGGGAAGCGGTGGCTTATATGATTATTTGTTGTATTGTATATACTGGATTTCTAGATACCAGATGGTACGAAGGGGGGAAAGGGAGAAGAATCAGTTGGTTGGTTGCAAGTAAATTACTTGGTCTTGGAATCAAATGGAAGAATGGATCGTGTTGAATCAACTCTTTGGTGCTTTTATTGTTGTGATTTCAAATTTGACTTTTTTTGCTTTGAAGTTGAGTTATTGGGATGCCATCAGGCCTTTGCAATAGGGTGCGCAGAGAAAATGGAATTTGCGAGTCTTCGTTCTATCTGGAGAAGTCTCTAGCGCGTATTGCATACAGTCGAATGGGCAGAGTGAGAATTGTGTTTTCCTGAAGTGGCTGTGGTGCACAGCCTGGATTTGGGTGTGATCATGCCTTACCTAGGTACCTAGTACCTACCTAGGTACTGTCAACCAATCAAAAATTACTCCTCAGCCTCATCGGTGAGATTATCAAGAAGGAAAATCCGTTCACATTTCTCATGATCTGACCGCTTTATTCACCTCATCTTTTCAGAGGATACTAAGATGGCATCGATTGAGATGTCGACTCATTTAGGATCGCGCCCTTCAGCTTCGGCAGAACAAGATCTCGTTGTGTCCGCGAGTGAACCTCTCGCAACTGATACTTCTCTGAACAACCCCGCATCTCTTCCTTCCTCTGGAGCAGATGATTTGAACGCCGACCCGGTGAATCCGGCACCACAAGCTACAACTACAAAACTGGGTCTCCATCAAGCCCTATAGGGTTGGTTGAGACACACAGAAATAAGAACCACCCCGTTAACGCTAGCTCCAACGTTGCTCAGTCTTATCCTCGCAGTAATATATGGAACCTCTACTTGGATACAATCGAGCACTGCTGCTGATTCCTCAGCAAAAGCAAATCGATTGGCTCTTTTCACGGCATGTATATCATTTCCAGAACAACCGGTAAGTTTGAAGTAACACTAATGTGATGTGACGGCATATACGCCACAATGGGCCTTGCTGATCATTTCTAGAATATTATCAATTCGAATTTTTGTAGAGAAAACCGCGATGCTAGCTTAGACGGATTTGCTAAACGCGACGTAGCAGCCATGAGTCTGCCGGTACTATGGGATATGGATGTGCTTGCAGCAGCTCTGGAAATTGTACAACCTGCCTGGGAATGTAAAGCTGTTTGTGGACAGGAAAGGGTGCTTCATCCGCCAGATTTAGCTCTCGTATTCTCTATTCCGATATCGAATGGCGAAAATTGTCACCTCGACTGTGTTAAACCTATTGAGCTTACGCATGGGCAGGATAGAGGTCGCCAAAGAACATTCAATACACTAGTTGTTGTGATTTTATTCCTCATAATTTCACCGGCATTTCCTCGAAGTTATCCCATCTTCCACGAGATCGCCATGGTCTTTGTAATTCTACTGTGTTTTGTGTTGGGTCCGATCTCATTGATAAGATTATGCCTGCGTGCTCTTATTTTTCTGTATCGGATGATATTTTCGGTAATATAGTCCCGAACAGTCTTATCAAACCATCACATCATCAATTGTTTGCTTAGGCTCGAAACAGCCCGCCTGGGTCAAGATAATATGCCTCATTCTTTCAGTCTACACCGTCTTAACCGTGGCCCGCTCAACACCAATACTGCACTTCTTCTGGTCGCCCACTTCATCGGTCTTAACCTGTAGTGTTTCATTTGCTGGGTTTATTCTTTGGCTTGTCCAGGGAAGACAGCTCTCCTGTCTCTTTTCTGCAGAATAATGTGCAGGTGTCACCTTGGATTCTAAATTTTGAGGAATTTATAAGACTACTTAGTGATATTCGGCAGTCACAGAGTATATTTTCTGGCTGTTGGGGGTTTGAAAATGGTTCTACGCAAACGACCGGGGAACAAGGTCGAAGTAAAGAGAGAGAAAACAGATTAGGGAAGAACTACAAGCTGAGGGGAGAGTAAACAGTTTGACTTTTATTCGATACTTACTTTCTATGCCCCCAGTATTATATACAACAATATCATCATGTTCCCATTTGAATCTTTGGACTTAAGCTTTGTGGTAGTATTCTGTTCCTAGTGAATTGATTGTTTAGCTTGTGTGTGCTAACCCCCCTCGAGCCCCCTTGCCCCACATGCTATTTATTCGCTTCGCTTAGCTTGATGAAAGTATAATTACAGTATATACTTATATCACTACAACGCAACTGTTGGTATCATCTCGGTGGCGATCATGGCTTCTTTATAATAAGTCTAATGCACTGATTGATATTGTATCTATTCTATTCTATTCTATTCTATTCTAGAGCTACGAGAGCTATGCGATACGTTTGTGCACTAGCACTAGCGTGTGCGCTCACGTGCATCTTCACGCGTATCACAACGGTCACTCTCGTACTATCTATTTATTTCTATCTTTGTTCTTGAAAGATATTATTACTATTACTGATCGAATTTATTTGAACGGTTGGTTTTATCGATGTGATATCCCTCACCCCTCACACTACGTTTCGTCGACGTCAAACTCTCGTCTCCGATACTCAAGATCACATGTGCTAAAAAAGGAGTACAGCGGCGAGGAGATTGAATGGCGATTGTCATTCTTCGTAGTGTATAAGTATATTAGACACAACGTCACATTGCGATTAGGAGGAGGAAGGTGGATCTAAAAGCCTGTTGCTTCCTAAGCACTATGACATTAGGACGGGCCTCTCGAAGCTTTCTTTTGTATGCAGACTTTCTTCTCTCGCTTTGCGGTAACGTTTACCGCTTGTTGAGAATGTTCGTTCTTTACTTCCTCTCCGTCTTCGAAAGTTTGATGTTTGATAACACGGCACAAGCTGTTGGTAATACATTGATTTGTAGAGGGTATTTATAATCTGGGAAATGGTTAGCAATATAATGAATGCAATATCTCAAACATAAACTATTTTTAGATGAAATATAATGGATGTCTAACTTTGCAATAAGATGTGGTTAGGGAAGGTTGTGTAGAGATACTCTCAATACATATGCTCTTGCCTTATTTCCCGATATATGTTTTTGAAAGATCATGTAATTAGATTCGACTTATCGATAAAATTCATGCAAAAGTTTGCTTGTGCAGGTTGGTGATTACTTCACTCGAGGAGCTTATTGCAGGTCCTCATGCCTTTTCCTTTTGGAAGGCAGTTAGACACTAGTCTTTTTTCTATCCCGAAATTAAAATGCAAGCTTTTCTTGCTTTGAACCACCCTCCGCTATAGAGTCTATATTCAAGGAACCTTGGCGGATATGAATTTACAATCATATATTGCTGTGCCTGGCGGACTTTTGTTCTTTACAACCTATATCCATATTCCAAACTCCATCATTGCAAATGCACGCTTCGCTTTCCTTCCAATCCCAATCCTTAACAAATAAGATATTCCATTTTACATTCACCCTTCTTCAATGGCCACACACAAAAATGCTAGCTTCAATCACTATCCTCCCCATTATCCAGCGCCTCGTCATCTACCTCTTTTTCTTCTGCCTCCTCAACATCGAACTTCTCTTCGTCATCGTCTTCCCTTGCTTCACCCTCCCCTTCTTCTTCGTCCTCGCCTTCCTCTCCCTCCACCTCCTCATCATGCTCTTCATCTGCGTCTATTTCGTCATCGTGTTCTTCTTGTGTCTCCCCACTGCTCCCATCTCGCCTAACCTTTTTAGCCTTTGGTTCTCCATCCCCTTCTCGATCCAACATTTCTGAATCGCCCTCTCCATCTTCACCTCCCGCTTGACTTCCAGCCACCTTATCCGCTGCGACTTTCTTTTTATATGTATTTTTTTTGTCGCTTTGTAGTTCGATAAACTCTGATATTCGATTTTTCATAATTAGTATGTGGTATCCCCCTTGATTTGCCCTCCCAAAACGCCCATGCCCATCCAATATGGAATAAAATACTAACTCGCAAGTTCCGCCTCTAACCTTGGTTTAAAATCAGGAAATTCTATATCATCCAACGCCTTGAAAACATCTTGCGGCGCTATCGTTTTAACACTTCGGCTGTGTGCGTTCTCGTTTGCACTATTTCATTCAAAATTGCATTAGCAATCTGCCCACACTATCTCTCCCGCTTCCATGCTTCCTATTTCTCTTGAACTTTCTTTTTCAGTGTTGCCCCAATGTCCAATCGCTTTTGCTCCTCCCAATTCTCCGAATCTCCAAAGAACCCTAATCTACTCACTGTGTAGCCAAATAATTAACAAAAATCGTGGCGCTCTTCCCCATCGCCAACATTGCATTTCCCTGAATCTGCGTATTAGGCGGTAACACACTCTTCGCCAATCGCGTTACGATACTTTTCGGGAGACTAAGATCCTGTCCATCACCATATGTATTAGTTTGACGTGTAGCTCGAATGCGAGGAGAGAAATCAAAGTAACTGAGGTCACCCAGAGTCAATGGAACTCGATTCAGGCAATTCCAATCGAGGAGAAGAATTTGGAGTCCGATCCGTCCAAGGAAAGTAATTATAAAAACAAACCTCGATACTAATTCCCTCTCGAACTACCGTCGTTTCTTTGACAGGTGTAGTTTCATCTCCAACGACAGGCTTCGCGACATCGCTCTTTCGTGGTGGCATGTTGAAATATTCGTATTCGTGGGAAGGAAGAATTGGGATGTGCGGTGGTAGTGACGTCGAGTATGGGAATAGTAGTTTGGTTTATGGGTTTGTCTTTACGCAAATGCATTTGGGCAATTCATTTCTTGTTTGGGAGGCGGTGAAGCATTTAAGCCTGGGAAACGCGCCGACGCGAAATTCGTGCAAAGTCACGTGAAAGCTTTACTACTGTGGCTTTCGAGGGGTAGGTAGGTACCTAGGTACCCTGGACCTACCTAGGTATATAATGGCTTCGAATTGTTAGTGAGGCTGTAGAATTTGATGCCCGCTGTATCTTGAAAGTTCAAGGTATTTTGCTGAGGCTAGCAGACTACTCGGACAACGTTACTTCGACTTTTTCAGATGTGTGAGCGCAATCTACAGATTTGAAGCATTGAGAAACTTGGAACAATCGAAGCCAAAGCTTATTTGTGTATTGAGTTTATATTTAAGTTGTCATATCTGCATGCTATTTCATGCCTCTGTGTATTTCTTCTATTGCTTCAGTCACCAGACTGTGCATGTCATAAATAAAATCTCTCATCGAGTGGTGAATTTCAAATTCCCAATCTACAAGTGCCAATAGTGTTGCACCGATCAGCACGGTTTCTTTCCCGAGTTGTCAATCTCCATCAATATGAACGAATCCTCCTTGGTATCAATATAAGTAATCCTCCATCATTTATAACAAACTAACTCCACTGCCCCCCGTAACCCAAACAATGCGTTTTAAAAAAAATGACTGGCGTCCAGGCCTAATACTATGAGATGGCCAACCCAATCTCACGGTCGCTATCCCAGAATGACGGGTACGCAGCACGTGGTGGTGGTCTTGGTGATAATGATGTGACTGGCCCAGGCGTCCCCGGGCCTGGTGTCATTTCTCGAAATGACATGGGCGAATCATTGTAGTCTCTGTTGTGGCTGTAATCCCGATGGATTCGAAAGTCATCTTCTGGATCGTACCATGTTGCTACCCTGTCGTTGGCTCTCAATTCTTTTGATTCGCCTCCATTGCCACTTTTGATACTCCACATGCTTCTCGCACTCAAACTACTCCTCCTGCTCTTCGTGCGTGAATGACCACCTGACTTCGATAACCTTGATCTATGTCGTTCCGCTGGTTTTATAAATGGTTCTGCACCCGGCATAATTTCGTCGGTGAGACCAACTCTAGCGTTCGGAGCCTGAGCTAGGAAAGTGGGAGTATCAGGTACGTATCCTGAGATACCTGAAGGGTAAAAGGTAGATCGTGTTCGAGTGGATGTAGGAGAAGCAGTCCACGTCCAGCCCGGAGAGTGCGCCATTTGTATTGTGTTGGATTGAAAGTATTCTCGACCTCCAGTCTCCTTGTCAAATACCAAGTCCTCACCCATAAATACCTTTCTTTCATTCCCAGAACGTCGCCATGATTCGATTTCGCTATCGTCTATCGGAGTCACTCCTCTTCCAGTGAAACTACGTTCCCTTCGATATCGCCTAAAAAGATATGCAGCAATTGAAACAACAATGATAGCGAGTGTACCGAGGACAGAAGCGAGAATGATTATCAGCGTATTGCGGTTTGTACCAGAGCTTGTGGATGAAGCTGCTGTTGGAGTCGATTGAAGATCACTCGTTGTGGCTGTTGATGCAACTTCGGCATTGCCCGTAAGCTGCTCTGTTCCAGAAGTTGAAGAGACTGATAGAATAGAAGAGATAGCGATTGTGTTTGTGATCAATGATGTGGCTGTAGATAACGTGGATGTCGATTCATCCTTCCTCGATGTCGAGGACTCTGGTTTTGTTGTGCTAGGAGATGTTGAAGGAGATGGTTCCGATATTGAGAAACCATTTATCGCAACGAGTGTTTGAGCGGATGATAGAAGAAACAACATCAACGTTGCGAACAATAAGTGAATGCCCCGCATTATGATGAAGTGAGGTTGCTTGGCCAAGGAGCAAGTATCAAGCTCGATTTATATTATCAAAACATTGTTGTCAGTCGTTAGACTGTTGAACCGACTGGGTCCTTTTCTTCTCACACCTTGGTCTCGATTGAAAAATGTCGTAATGGATACGAAATATAAGTGAACGAAAGAGGATGAAAAAGGTTAGGGTAAAGAGAAATAAGAGAACGAGTCTTAGGATCTATTGATCCTCAGAGACCAGCCCAAATATCCTGACAGATCTAGTTCAGACGTAATGAAGGTCCAAGATCAACTCAAGATGTAGGCACCAGTACCTATATAAGAATAACAAATCTTGCAATGGTCGTATCCGGTACTTGGAGCTACTTTTTCAAGTGGGGAAAGTGTCTGTGTTGGACTATAGAGCGGCATAAGCGTCTTACCTGTGGTCTGTGAGATCGGGATCATTTGATGGATGGATGCGTATGTGCTGTATGGTATGATGGTATCATCGAACAAACAAAGAACTGAACTGAGCTGCAGGTGGGTGTGCAGAAGTGCAGAATTAGATCCTTGCCCATCTTTCAGACCTTGGGCGGTCAATACACCCACCCAGCCTGATCGAGGACCCAGGGGTAAGTGTAAACTATTCTTAGTGGGGTGAACAAACACTGAAATCAATATCTATTGGCTCCAACAGTTTCCCTGGTTCAAAACCAATAGTCTTTGAAGACCATTGAGTGGTTGATGTTGAGCTGTTTTCCGATGTAACCTAGTTGAAGTCCTCGGAGATTTTGTATAGTCACTGAAGTGAACGAATGACAGCTTGACATGATATTTGACGCCATTGCCGAAACGTGCCTCGCATATTGAGTTACAAGGTACGTGACATGGAAAAAACTTATGGCTGGGGTCATACAATTCAAGAGTGGATTTAAATGATCTTGAAGCTAGTCAACAAGAGGAAGGGTTCGAGCGTGATGGAGTGGTTGATATTGAAAAGGACTGGGTTTGTCATTTGCTAATATAGAAACTAGACCGTGCAGAAACGTGCCGAGAAGAAGTGGATTATTCTATCAATTACCCTGCTCGAACTTCAATCTTCGACAGACGAACTCTTCGGATCTTCAACGGATTTTAACCACAAAATACCACGTTCGCCGCCGCAAAATATGCGCATCTAGAGCGAGAAAGTCATCAAAGTGACAGTTCAGTCAGTTGACTCAATGCAACATAAACAGCGATTGGTAGTAGACGATATCTTGGTAGGTCCCGTATCGTAGGATAAAATTGAGAGATAGTTAACGTCCATTAATTCATGCAGCCCTCAATTATTAACTCGATGACATGGAATGTTCCCGAGAGAAAAAAAGAAACATGAATCAAGTCACAGAAGGCTTCCCGAGATTTAATATTGTGATTTCGACGGGAAGAGATATTGAAGCGATGAAGCGGTGAGTAAGGAACTCACTCAAGTCATTCAGTGCAGTAGTCAACGGGGCGATAATTATAAATCGCCTCCAAATTCATTTAGTACACAGTCAAATTCAGCCCCGTCATGTCGATGAATCGTCCAAACAGGGTTTCGAATGGTGACACGAGAGCACGAGTAGTAGGAATTTTGATCGGATCTTGGTAATCATGTCAGCATGGCATCCTCGTCCTTGCTTGTCGTTCAAGATTTCAAGCTCTGTGAGATTGAGTGGAGTGGCGGAGGTGTAAGTTTCAAGCCTAGATGTGCAAAAGAGCAAAATATCTGCAATCCAATACCAAAGACTAGCATTCAATTGGGTGAAGAGGAGTTAAAAGTTCCTGATCTACAAACTCCGGTTCAAGATACTCATTTCGAACTTCGAATATCCTGTTTTTCGATGCGAATGTCAGCTGCAATCAATTGTCCAAGCCTCGATGTGGTACCATCATTGCACTACTCGATAAGGTTGTGTGATATGGAAATTCTTCTCCATACAAAACGTGGAACATGCGTGCCACTGATATAACTTCTTCTGCCTATCTAGGTATCTTCAGTAGTCCTGTCAGCTGAGAACGGTACCTGACATGATATCTACGGTTCCTTAACCTGATATCTTAGCTATCTTGCCCTCCCCTGGCCATCTAATAGTTTCATACCTTTCTCACGGGCCTGAGTTCTCTCGGTGCAACAACCAACTTCAGAATGTAAACCGAATATTCCGAGTGCACCAATCAAAAGGAAACTTCCGCACATCCACAAAACTCGTCAAGTATATTGTGATCTACGAAAGCCGTTTGACTTTCTTTTGTGCTATTGAAATTCACTCCGATTTGGGGGAACACAACATCAAAGCGCACACAGCTACATGTTAATTTGTTGCGGGCGTTGCTGATGTTGGCACATGGCGATCCCCCAAATATAGAGTGGTAAAAAAAAATGAAGATACGGTAGAAACCCCTTCATCGCTTCTCCGCATTTTCATCTTGATCAAAACGACTAATCCTTCCCGAATCTTCAACTTCTGCGATATAAATATTGTCGTATTGATGCGGCAACGTCGGGATGCCCTACGAGATGTCATAGTATGAAGCTTCCAATGTCTCGCAAGTCATCATAATTAGCTTGAGCTCATCCAACCCCACGACGGCCCGAGAAAAAAAAGGAAAGCTTTGGAAGACCGTGACCTGGTTCAAAGGAAATTGAATGTCAGCCACGGACGCTTTCCCCCTCATTTAGTCCTATCTCACATCTAATTCTTTGGTGTATTCCACTACGGTGCGGATGAATATAAGCAGTGAAGGCTAACTACCTACGTAGGTACCTACTTCACTGTGAGATAAGATCCAAGACATGTTAGTTAAATTGTCTACTCCACAAACACTATTGCATACCATCGATGACTCTTTTTCCCTTCTTGGCTATCAAAATATGTAGGTTCTGGAGGATCGGCCTTAGCTTTCCAATGGTCAACTAACAATCGAATGAATTTCTACGATACAACTACACCTAAAGCAAAATGGCAAAGCTCAGTATTCAGCCTTCTCACCGAGTACGAACTCCAAATACTATTCCTATCGCAAAATTCCCAGTAGATAGGTTGATTCTTTCGGCTATGCCCC